ACAATGAGGTCAAAGAGCGTGTGATGAGAAGGTGGTCCACAAGGAATCACTTTTAGTCCCTTAACCAGCTCCCCTTTCCCACTTCCAGCACAATTTTTTTTTTTTTTTTGAGATGGAGTCTTGCTCTGTGGCCCAGTCTGGAGTGCAGTGGCACTATCTAGGCTCACTGCAAGCTCTGCCTCTCGGGTTCACGCCATTCTCCCACCTCAGCCTCCCAAGTAGCTGGGACTACAGGCACCCGCCACCACGCCCGGCTAATTTTTTATATTTTTACTGGAGACGGGGTTTCACCGTGTTAGCCAGGATGGTCTCGATCTCCTGACCTCGTGATCTGCCCGCCTCAGCCTCCCAAAGTGCCGGGATTACAGGCGTGAGCCACCGCACCCGGCCCAGCACATTTTTATTCCTGCTCCCAAGCCTTTGCTTAAACTGGTCACACTCCCCGGAAAGACCCGTCTTCTTCTAGCTACTGTGGGATAAATAAGTCATCCTTCATGGCTTCAGACCTCACTGGAGTGCCACTTCCCAGCTCTCTGAAAAGCTTTGCCTCGCCCCTCCAGGGCATTTGGCCGGCTGCCTTCTCTCAACTCCGCTAGTTAACAGCTAAGCAGCTCCACACACTATGCCATCGCTCTCTCCTTCACATATCCCCCTGGCTGCTGTTTCTGGAATGGTATGGAATGCCATGCCGACTAAAGAAAACAGTCAAGATTTTAAAGAATCAAAGTTAGTTGTATTCAGAAGTCTTACTGTGGACTACAGACCAAGGCCTACAGCCTGGGAACAGCCTTTCAGAGAGATCCTATGAGACTGCTCCAGCCCAGGATTTCAGTCCACTGCTTACAGACAGGAAGTGGAGTTTCAGGACCTGCACAATCACATCAAATTTGCTCAGAAGTTACATCGTAGCAGAATCCCATCAAGGCTTAGGTATAAGAGTGCATCTGGTTGTAGATTACAGAGGCATAGGCACTAACCCTGTTAAAGGTTTCGTCTTCAAAGCATCTTTCCAAAGAGCTGCACATCTTCACAGTCCCGGGCTTTTGTGAAATTCTGCTGGCAAGCAGAAGTGAGCAAAAGGCGCTTCTCACATTTGCTCCTTTGTCTCAAAGCTGGAAAGAACAGAACCTTCAGAACCAGACCAGATCTGAGTTCAAATTCTGACTCCCATGGCTGGCTATCTATACTGAACCTAGAGAAAATCAGTTACATTTTAGAAAAATATATTATTCGCTTATTGTTTAAAAATGTATAACAATTTCAGCATGTGAATAAGAGGACACAGTCTATCCAGAAGGAGCCTAAGTATGCTATGTAGGTGGCCAAAGGAATGCAAAGGAAGTAAGCATCCCCTGTTCCTTAAAGACCTTAGGCATGCCCAACTTTATTCCAACTTGCTACTGTCCTAAGAGGGGCACTAGTCAGCCCCTTGGAGAGGGACTCACCTTGGATAAAAATAGTTTACTCCTCTGAGCCTTGGTTCCTTGTCTGCAAAATTAGATGATGACACCACCACAATTAAATAAGGTAATTTAAAGTGGTGGATGCAAGTGCCTGGCACCCAAGATCTCCGTCTGATATAGTTTGGGTGTTGTCTCCTCGAAACCTCATGTTGAATCACGATCCCCAGTGTTGGAGGTGGGGCCTGGTGGGAGGTGTTTGGATCATGAGAGTGGATTTCTCATGAATGATTTAATGCCATCTTCTTAGCGCTGGCCTCGTCATAGTGAGTTCTGGCAAGATCTGGTTGTCTAAAAGTGTGTGGCACCTCCTTCCCCCATCTCTCTTGCTCCTGTTCTCACTATATAACGTGCCTGCTCCCACTTCACCTTCTGCCGTGATTGTAAGCTTCCTGAGGCCTCCCCAGAAGCCTAGGAGATGCAAGCACCATTCTTCCTGTAAAGCCTGCAGAACTGTGAGCCAATCAAACCTCTTTTCTTTATAAATTACCTAGCTTTGGGTATTTGTTTTATAGCAATGCAAGAATGGCCTAATTCACCATCCCACCTGCTTGATTGCAAACTCCTGGGACTAGGGGCCGTGTCTTCCTCTTTATATCTCCACAAAGCCTAACTCTGCACCATTAGAAAGTACTCAAATATACAGACGGACTTGGGGATTCCTTATAGCTTCTTAACCTTACAGGCATCATCACCAGTTATTTTCCACCCTAGGCTTCCCTGGAAGCTGATAGTCTCAACATTAGAGTCATTGTTTCATTTCAGATACTCTCTCCATCTTACATACCACAAATCTATTTACAGTGACGAGCAAATTACAGTTTCATGTGACCTGGTAGTGAACGAACATTGATAGAATAGGACGCATAGCAGATACATTTGATGAAACGGAGAAAGAGATGAGGAATGGCCTGGAGGATAAATGGCTTGCATGCAGGGAAGCTCTAGAATGGACGATTAGATGGCCCTGATGACTCGAGCCTACAGGCTACTAGGGTCCCAGTCAGAAGACTGATCCTTAAACAGGAGGTGGGGGGATGTTGAAGACAAACCTTGTTTACATCAGAATTCATTTTACCTTAGGTGACTTCTCACCCCTTCCTGACAGATGGCAAGTGCTTATCATAAAGGCCTGGTCTAGTCTGACTAGCACATCATCATCACCATAATGTCGTCAGCCTCTTACATGGTGTAGTTATTTCGGGGCCATGAAAAGGGCCTCTGTTCTCACTGCCACCCTAAATATCTTGCTAATATACAAAAAAAAAAAAA